CGGATTGCGGTATCACGCCAGCAGGCCATTTAAATAACTTGATGTACATATTTTGCATTTCATATACTTTTATAGTCTTTTTCCATTGTGTTTTATTGGCCAGTGATGTAATTTATTAATGGCATAATTTTTTTTCTGGTAGCGACGTTGATGTGAAAATATAAAAGGATATTCTTGAGAAAGCCTTCCAGTTGTCTGCCAGGAAATTTTAAAGCTAGAACCAGTCAAATCATTTTATTTTATTGTTTTAAGCTTTCAATCCCACGTAATCCGATCCCGATCTTTACACGTGCAGCGTGTAAAATATTGTTTACTGTTAGATGGATTAATACAGTAGAGTCGAGCCTGTTTAAATAATGACTTAAGCTTAAAAAATTAAAAATTTTAAAAAAAATAGAGCTTTAAAGCTTAGCCTTAATAAGTCTTAAGAAAAGGTTCAAACTTAAATAGCTCTCCAAGCTTTTTTTCCATTTTAAACGCATCATCTGGCTTAACACCTAAAAAAAATTCTAAGCACACTCATGTCACACACCTCTACAAATCCCTCTCAACCTCTCCTCATGGTCTTGACTTATCATCCCTCTTAGCTTGCGATCTTGATGAAGGACTCATAGTGCTCTCACCTCTTGTCCCATGATATTTAATTCTTAAATTAGGTGATATTGTGGATGCTCAATCATGGTTCTCTCTCTCTCTATCTCGGCCTTTATCACAATGCTGAGGTGCCTCTACTTCACGTCATCAGAAATCAAAAGAAAAGGATGAATTTAGGTCTGTGTTCTCCCCCTTTTTCATTCCTCTTCGTTTGATTCCATTTTTTCTTCTTTCTTTTTGTTTCTTCATCTCCTTCGAAGTTGCCATTTTTGTCTTGGATAATATATTTTTTAAACTAGAAAAGAGTATGCGAAACTAAAAATGAATCAGTTCAAGTATTGTAATGTTAAAACGATTGATGTTAGTTTTGTTGCCATTTATTTTAACATAATGTTGATGGATTCTTTACTAATTTCTTAAATGAGATTGCTTTGTAAGGCTTATTTCTTGGATTTGATTAATGTTATACTCTATCATACATAAGTTTTTGTACTTATTGGATTTCACAAGGTTGATATAAATTAAAGATTTTTATCTTCATTTTAAAACTTGGTCAAGATTCTATGTTTGAATTTGTATTTATATATTTTTTAAAAATTTTCATTTTTTTAAATTTGTTTAAGATAAAATGGGTTTATGAATTCTATCTTAAATCCTTTAAATAAGAGTTAGGCTTTAAAAACTAATCACTTCTCAAAAAATAAGGCTCAAGGACTTGAGTCCTTACAAGTTGGACTCCATGAGGAACGAGCCTATATCAGTAAAGTTCGCCAATTTCTCGTCTCTATAGACAAACATGTCATGTATCATGTTTTTATGACGGATTTCCTCTTCTTATCTTTCCAATCCAAACTTCAAATCAAGCAAATTAATGATTTTAACAAATCACTTGTCATGTTAAAAGTTGGAGGTTAGCGGCAGAGCTATATTTATGTGAGGGGGGCAAATGCCCCTCATCACATGAGAAAAATTACATATATAATATGAAAAATTTATAACCTTACACCTCATAATTTTTAGTATTTCAAATTCTCTAAGCTCAATAAAAAAAATATTTGGAGGTTCAAATTTAAATTATATATCAACCCTTTTAACATATTTTTTGTAAAAAAATCTCAAAATATTTTGCTCAAACAAAAATATATATATAATTTTACTTATGTTATTTTATTTTTTTTCTAATGCAATGAACTTTAAAAAAAAAATTAGAATATTAATTTTAATATTACATCATCCTGCACCCGGGACTCAGGTCTCGATTATTTCACTGTTGGGGGTTGTTTGGCTTTATCTACTAAATTTTACGAGGAGTCAACCTCTTGTATACTAAGAGGGAATTTTGCTGAAGGCTGAACGGCCGGTGATTAATTGTTCGTTTTCTTTTTCCTCTTTCAGTTTTTATAATATATAAACAATTAGTTGCTTCCCTAGTCACGAGTGTAATTAGAAAGGCTGAGCTTTTTTTATAAATCAAGATTATACTTTCACATAGATGTATATTGAGTAAAATAAATTTCACTACTTATTAGAAAGTCCAATTTCTCATTTTTACTTTCCCCAACAATGGGATCCTTTTTTTTTTTAGGCCAAAAATGGGATCCTTTACTTGAAAAATCTAGTCTCAAATATTTAAACATGTGGATTCAGGTATTATTAAATAAAGTCATAATATAATCCATTAAAATATATAGTTAAAGACTTGAAGTTTCAATTTGTGCCGTTTTCTCAATCTTTACAAAGAAATTAATATAATTGTCACGTGTTTTTCTTTAATCAATTTATTTTCTAGGATAGTGAAATATCCATTTCAAGGTTGATTTTAAAAAAGTAAATACATTGTGTCTAGCAGGGCTTTTATTTTTTTTCTAAATAAAGGCAAAATATGAAAAATGTAATTACTACAATAATTTCATTAAAAAATTTATTATTCATTCAATGATAACTAAATACTGGAACATGATCTCATTTTACATAGGTTTTAAAATTTTATTACTCTCTCAATTTAATTGAACCTCACCTTCAATAAAGTAATTATTTATTTTTAAATTAATCCTATCTTTTTATATTTATTCTTATTAAATATTTTACAATAAATATAAAGTTATTCATTGATAGAGATACTTTTTTAAAAATAATGATTATACCTCAAAAGACTAAAAATATTTTATATTTTTAAATATCAAACTTTTTAAAAAATAATTTACATTTTTTAACGAATGAAGTATAAAATTACTTTAAAATATTTAAAATTAAGCACATTTAAAGATACTGTAAAAAGAATTATATATATATATATATTAATTGGAACAAAGCAGGTTAAAAAACCGTGGGGAATATTATCTCAGCAGAGCAAAATGAGAGCCATAATATTTTATTTTTCTTGGGTAGAATATAATATTTGGAATTTGGTTGAAAATTTATAAATAATAAATAAAAATAACGGAACTTTAAATCTTTTAAGTTTACCTTAATTATTAATTTAATTTTTTTAATTTAATTTTTATCAATTTCATCCTTCATGTTTTTAAAAATTATTTTGTGAATCTCTTAAATTTTAAAATAAATTAACTCTTAAAATAATCTAGTGTAAAAAATATACTGACAACATGTATATGCAGTTAAATTAGAACAAATTATCCTTCAAATTAATTTAATTTTTAATAATATAATCTTTTAAATTGTATTTTATTCTCTTGTTTTTAAAAACTTCTAAGTTTATTTTTTTATATAAATAATTTTATTTCTTTTTTATTAATGTATATGCTTGACATTGGCATTTGGTTACGTGATAAAGAATTAAATTAATAGTTAAAGTAAACTTTAAAGATTAAATCTATAAAAATTTTTGAGATTAAATTATATGTGTAGTGGATTTGAAGGATTAAAAATTATATTATTTTTAATAAATAAAAGTGAAAAATTTCCGGAAGCCCACGTGGAGGCAGGAAATGCACTGGGGTCAGCACTATAGGACGGAAGAGCAAGTTGGGGAGGGAAACAAAAGCTTAAATAGAGGTCGCCTTGTTTATTCTCTTCATCACCACACACCCGGGACGGCTGCTCATTCCCCAACTCACTCTGTTCAGGTGCTAGGAGGAGACGCCTGTTGCAGAGCTCTCAGCTTCCTCTTCGGCGGCTTCAGGTCATTTTCTCTCATCTCTATTCTCTGCTCTTCACTGCTCTCATCTCACATTTTTGCTTTCACTTTCCTGCTTCAATGTTCTCGAATCCGGCCTCCCACCCTCATTTTCGCTATATGATCTATGCTAGATCTAGTTTTATTTTCATCTTGTGCTTCTGAGTTTTCTTGGAGATTTTAGATCTCTTCTGCGTTCGTTTCCCTTTTATCAGGAGTTACGATTTATGAATTTTATCCTACAGTTAAGGCGTTCAAGATTCCCTGGTGGTTTTCGTCAATATCTGATCAAAATGTTTTCCCTATTTGATTCGTTCTTGGCTAATGCGGATGGTGGGTCTCTTTCTGCTTTAGCCCTCACCGGAACCACCGTTTGAAAATACTAAGCCCAATCATATTCCCTAGCCGTTTAGGGTTCGGATCTAGCGAGAGAGAAGCCCCCCTGGCTCCATCGCTGGGTTATTTGTCGCTTACCTGGGATTGGAAAGCTGGTCGGATGACCCTTGTGTTCGTTTTCAATTTTCATTTGAGAAAATTGACAAAAGTGCATTTGAGGGTTCAATTATTTGTTGAATTTGATAAAAATATATTTTAAATATATTTTTTAGGGTTATTTAAACATGCCCTAATATCTATAGTTCCACCCCACGGCTTTCGTGGAATATTCCGTACCAGGGCTCCTTCCCCCGATTAACTGAAACGCAATCCCACTGGTGTTGTGGCTGTTTTGTTTGCTGGATTTCAGTCACTAATGCGACGGCGCCTCGATCTGGGTTTGTTTTCCGGCCACACTGGCTACTATATTATCTAGCTTCTTCGGAAGTCCTGATTTTCTAAACTGCGAGAAAAGTTTGCCATAAGAAATTTGCTGGATATATGAAACGTATTAGTATTAATGTGTTCTTAAATTTTTCTTTTCGTTATACTAGTTAATTTTTTTTATTTCATTAACTTAAACATGCTACTACATATTTGTATTTAACTTTAAGATATTATTTAAAAAAAATTAAAAGAACTTATTGTTGTTGATTTATTACTCTTTAAATGAGTTGATTAATAATACAATTATGTATATAAATTAAAAATTTTGGAATTTATTATTAAATTTTAAAAATATGATTAAAAGTTTAGTTCCAAGCTTCTCATTAATATATATTCCCAATATTTATTTCCTAGGATAACTAATTTTTGGATTTATTAACTATGCGAAATTTATTTCATTCAATTATTTAGGAAATATTCAGGCCAAAAGAAATTATTTAGGAAATATATTACTGCTGACAAATGTACGCATAACACTGGTCGCTCTCGTTTTATAGTTGGTATTAGATTAGATTTTGTAAATTGCTATTTGGCCAGTAGGTCACTTTCTTAATTAATGCGGCCAGTTCAAGTTGCGATGGGCAGAAAGATGTTCCATCATTGGGGGTAGTGTTTACACTTCATAACCTACAAGTACTTAAAATATTCGACCTGTGTAATTAATAAGGTTGGTAGTTTACCCCAAAAAAAAAAACCAAGTTGGGTAAGAATGCACGTGCCCAAAAAGAGAAGTTTGCGAGGAAATGTGGCATGAAGAGACCCAAACCATTGCATCTCGTGGTCCGTCAGGCGATTACAAATTAGTGCCGGTTCTCGGTAACTGATGGGCTGTCATTCGCCTGACCAGATCAAAGTTCTCTGCGAATTTTTTGATAAATTCTCAGCCACTTGCTGATTGACGGACAGAAGTAAATGTATTTATAAGATAAATAGCCCTTTGATTCGATCTCCCGGCAGTAATTTTGGCATCAGAGCTGCTTTGTTTAGGTTTGTACTTCAACATGGATTTAATTCGGCAGGATGATAGGTGGTTTAAGCCCGCTTCTAACGATCGAGCTCTCTATTCTTCGTCGTAAGATGAAAAGTTGCGTTCTCTGCCTGCTATTTGTTTTCACTTGGTAAAAAGAAAGACGACCTGTTTTTGGAGATCAAGCGTTCAAGACTGAATGTTTAACAAATATGGTTCAAATGGGATAAGCTAATGTGCGTGTGCTATTTTCTTTCCTTCCAAACCACATGGGTGTATTAACATGTAAAGATAGTAGGGAAAAGAATTTGTTTATCGCACGTCAAAATGATAGGGTGTTAGGCACAGTCAGGCATTGGCGTTAAATTGACCCATTTTTATTTCCAAATTGCTAGGCGTTAGACTGATGAATAGGAGGATTATGCTGACGAATTCAATTTTTGCAGACAGATTGGGTGAAAATGGGAGCAGGTGGCCGATCCTCCGTTCCTCCTGCCCTGAGGAAGTCAAAGACTGAGACGGTGAAGAGAAGCCCAGTGGAGCAGCCGCCGTTCACGCTGGGCCAGGTCAAGAAAGCTGTGCCGCCTCACTGTTTCAACCGTTCTGTGGTGCGCTCTTTCTCCTACGTCCTTTACGACCTCACCATAGCCTTCGGCCTCTATTATTTGGCTACACATTACTTCCATCACCTCCCGCGGCCTCTCTCTTTCTTGGCCTGGCCAATTTACTGGGCTATTCAAGGCTGCGTCCTCACCGGCGTCTGGGTGATCGCTCACGAGTGTGGCCACCACGCGTTCAGCGATTACCAATGGCTGGATGACACCGTTGGCTTCGTTCTCCACTCCTCCCTCCTGGTGCCTTACTTCTCATGGAAATACAGCCATCGCCGTCATCACTCTAACACCGGATCTCTTGAGCGCGATGAAGTCTTCGTGCCAAAGAAAAAGTCCGGTGTTAGTTGGTACACTCCATACCTTAACAATCCACCAGGCCGAGTCGTAACCCTTGCGTTTACTCTCACTCTTGGCTGGCCTCTCTACCTTGCTTTTAACGTTTCAGGAAGGCATTATGATCGTTTTGCCTGCCACTATGACCCATACGGTCCCATCTACTCAGATCGTGAACGGCTCCAAATATACTTATCAGATGCAGGGGTGCTCGCTGTGTTCTATGGGCTTTACCGCCTTGCCGTGGCGAATGGACTTGCCTGGCTCGTTTGTGTTTATGGAGCGCCATTGTTGGTGGTCAATGGATTTTTGGTGTTGATCACTTTTTTGCAGCATACTCACCCAGCATTGCCACACTATGATTCCTCCGAGTGGGACTGGTTGAGGGGGGCTTTAGCCACGGTGGACAGAGATTATGGTATTTTGAACAAGGTTTTCCACAATATTACAGACACTCATGTAGCGCATCATCTGTTCTCCACGATGCCTCATTATCACGCAATGGAGGCTACAAAAGCAATCAAGCCTGTTTTGGGAGAATACTATCAGTTTGATGGGACCCCAGTTTACAGGGCAATGTGGAGGGAGGCAAAGGAATGTATTTACGTCGACTCTGATGAAGGCGCTGGGACCAAAGGTGTATTCTGGTACAAGAACAAGCTCTGATTTGATTAGGATCGTTGCACATTATCAGGTGGGGAAGAAGCTTCCCTTTGTCGAAGATTTAGGCTATGTTTCGTCTCCATTTGAACTCTGTAACTTAGATTTCCTTGGAATAATTTTCTGGCTTCATAGATGTAGAATGTAGACATAGCTCAGGAGTCAGTCGTCTTGGCCCGTGTTGTTTCATGTGCCATTTTGCCTGATCCTGCAAGCTTGTGCCAATTGGTCGATCTGGTGAACCTGAGTCCAATGCTTGATTCAAGACATTTGTTTGTGATGTTATTTTATTCTTAACCACTCGAACTTGAATCTTTCAAATTTTTTTGGCTTTTTTTTTTTTTTGGGGCGGAGGGTCGACGTGAGAGTTTGGATGATTCAGGTGTGAGATTATTGCTGTTGAATCTTTCTTTCTGCCAGCTGAGAGGCATGAGGTGCGAGATGAACTAATGATGGGTCTTTCATCCTTTCCCTGATGGCAGTCCTTCTGTTTGGATCTGCTCGAAACAGAAATTTAAGTTGTGCTTCGAGTTGTCTGCTGACAACCAGGGCTTTGGTCCGACAACTAAATTTTGAACCAATATTTCAATCGGTTTACTGATCCAGTTGAGACAGTCGGTGTGGTGAGTGAGGCGCTGGTCTAATTTTTCAAGCCAACTCAGAGGTGGCTTGGTCTAATTTTTCAATTTTTTATAGAGCTGACCTTTTTCAAGAAGTTAGTCCACCCCCCCCCCCGGCTGGAAATTCACGATTATTGTTTGCTCCTTTTTTTAAATTATTATTCTCAGGAAGTCTAACACATTTTTAACTAAATATAAAGAACAAAAAAATATTATTTCAGTTAAATTTTATTTTATAATTTTTGAGAGTAAATTTGGAACTATATACACCAAGAAAGTATAGCTTACATGTGTTTTACTTGGGTTACTTTCAAGTGGTCCCTTGTTAATCTTTCCAAATTTCTGGTTTGATTAAATTTACATGAGAATTTTAGTAAATTCTCTGTTTTTAAGTATCACCGTTAGCTTCACTTAATTTGCACGCTTGCTTTGTTCTCCCGCAACAAGCGTTGCGCTGATCCGTTCTTGGGCCGATGTAGGGTTGAAACTATCCCAAAATGATTGATTCATATTGGGCCTTTTCTTTTTTGGGTCAAGCATATGGGGTCTCCTTGATCTCTTATGACAAGAAGAATTGAAAAACGTTAATTTTTCTCACAAAAAATGGATAATTTACGATCAATTGCACATGAATGAAAAAACTACTGAGAAGTGAATGCATAATATTATATTAAACATATTTTGAAAATATTATTATATTTTTTCTTTTAATTATCAAGTTTTCGTATTCAATTAGTCATAAGGTAAAAAAGAGACAATGCATGCTAAACAATGAGATAAAATTTTGAGGCGATACTTATTGTAACTGTTATTTTATGTTAAAAATTCCAGTGAGTTGTTAGCTGATGGGAAAATTAATTATTTTGTCAACATAATTTACATCAGTCGTCAATTTGATCCTGATAATTTCAAGAACTTAGAATTTTCTCCCCATGGATTTCAGCCATTTCGAGGTTTTCCGTGAGAATCCCTGTGTGCCCAACCGGCTGGGACGGTGCTGCGTGATAGCTAACGTGGCAGAGGAAATAGTAAGAGATGGATGCCAGGTCGTCAAAGAATTTGCTGAGGCAGTCCTCGAGACTTGAAGCACCGGTCAGTTTTCTCAAGCTTCACGAAATAGCCACGTGCATGAATGAGGCATAGTGGGTCCTGGGGATGGCGGCGTTGTATGGGTTAAGGACTTGATTTGCTGTCGTCAAAATTGAACCTCAGAGTACTGCGTCCTGTATTCAGTATTCACTGTCTGTCCACAGCATACCTCAAACAGACTATGGTCCTGATTTAAGGGAAAATTGAAGATCCGAAGCAGGCCCACTTGGTTCACTCCTCTACAATAATTAATGCCCGTCCGCTATAGCACCCCTCTAAGTCTCTAAAATGTGAATGTCTCTATCACTCTGTATACTATTAAGTCTTGTAAAGGGTAGCCGGGTTGGGAGCTTTGATAGCTTTTGGCGGGAAACCAGGCGGCAATGCCATTGTAAATCCAGCTGTCCAAATCAATTCAAATGAAACCCAAATGTCAATCGTATGAAAGCCGGAAACAATTTTGAATAGACTCAATCATTAGATTTTTATATGAATGTTCCTTACAATAGTTCCCCAGAAACGTAGCCTACAGAGAGATATATGATTAGTTACACGCCAATTCTGAATTATAGAAAGCCTTTTAAGTCTTCAAATATCAATTGCAAAAATAGAAAGACTTTGTTGTAAGGATGTAAAAAAAAAAAAAAAATCAACTGCTTAACATTAGTACATTACTATATGGCTGTCTTTGTTGAGCCTGACATATTTCTTTCAATTTTTATATTGATAACTTTTAATTATTTTATTGGAATTAAAGAACTGTAATTAAATCATCATACATATTGTTTTAAAAAAATCTCAATTTATCTCTATTAAATACATCATTATTTTAAAACGTATTCTTTCTTTTATATAAAGGTCCAAGAGTATTTGAGATCTCCTAAACTCATTCTTGATGCAACCTTTTTTTTTAACTTTTAAAAATTATGTAATGTTGCTCTTATTGTTAATAAAAATTAACATTAACAGCTAATTGATTAGGAAATGAGCTCAAAAATTGCATAAAAATGAACAAGAAAATTACAGTTAATGACTTGGAAATCAGTCATTTTCTGTAATTTTTTTAATTAATTAATGATTAAAATTAATATTTGTTAACAGTATGAGTTATATTACACTGTTTCAAAATGTTAAAGGAACATTACAAAAAAAATGAATTTAAATTCTCAAACGTTTTGAACTTATAGTTTATTAGCAAATTTACTATTTAACTATTATGTAAATTAATTTATAAAAAATCATGAATTTCTTGTAAAGGATAATTCATAGACGGAACAGGGAAGTATATTACGTTTTTCTACGCGCGTGTTCCCCACTACGCTGTTTCCGTACAACTCCTACCAAACCCCGATCTCGTGCCACGTCAAATTCTACTTCTGCCCCTCGTTACATGTCGTCGATTCTCTCAGATTTCCCCCCAGCCATGGCTTAATTTGTGTTGATTATGAATCTTCCCCTCCAAGTTTTATTCCAACCAACAATAACTGCTACCGCAAGCGTGCCTTTCGCATTCTTTGTACTTTTTTATAGTTCTTCTTGTTGGCCCAAAAAAAAAAAATTTAAAGGCTCTCTTATTAATAATATAATTTTTATATATTTAATATAATATACATAAAAAATATAAGGCATTTTAATTTTAATCAAATTATGTTACCTGATAAGTTTGTCAATTGTCTTTACAATAATACAATCTTTTTGTATCTATCCTTATTGTTTTACTTAAAGGTGAATTGTTAACTGGTTTATTTATTAAAAACTCATTAATTATACATTAAAAAATAAAAATATTTATATTTTTATCATTTAACATTAAAAAAAATATTTTATATTTTTTAATGAAGAGATTACCTCAAAAGTAATATGTTAGTGAACCTATAACTTGTGGGCAAAATTATCCTTTAGCCCGTATTTAATTATACTTCCAACAATCACGAAATCGCAAGGTCTACTTTGAAATCAATTAGTTATCAATCATGTTGATCAACTATTTTTTCAAAATTTCCTGGCATACAATAAAATAGGCATGTAGGAAGTTTATATTTAGCGGATGCATGTTATGTTAATAAATTAGCAATCCCATATCGTGTTGACAATCATCCAGAGTTGTTGATTTAGCTTAATAATTAAGAAATAATCATAAGACAAACTCATAAATGGGGCCTGCATTCCATCTGGTCATTTGAGGGCAGGTGCGTACGTCCCTCCTCCCAGCCTCCCGCTCGACGCATTTGATTTTCTCGATCTCTCCTATACTTTTTACAAGGAATTAAAAAGAGATTTAAAACTTATTAACTTTAATTATCTATAATTTATTGAGAAATTCTTAGATGGATCATGAGCGCACTACATCACTTATGAACTATCCCAATCTCCATAAATCTGGTGATGATGAGAGAGAGGAGGAGAAAAGAAAGGAGCAAGGAGAGAGAATGTCACAAAACAGTAAAGAAGAGTAGAGCGAAAAACTTGAGATTACGTTGATTTCTCTTTACTATTTTTTCCCTTCATTGTTTTTCCGTTGCAAATTTAAACCACATTTAAATTAAATCTGTACTTTTAAAAATTATTGAATTTAAATCATCAAACTCAATTTAATGATTCAAATCTGTAATAATCCCTCCTATACTTTCCCTTCCAGATGAGGAAAGCTAACTCCATATTCATACGGAAGAGAGAGTATCATGGAAGAATTAATTAAAAATAATACTAAAAATATTATTTATCAAAAAAGTGCCATGTACGTTGACATGTAGACTTACATTTGATGAGTTGGTGTGTTTTTATTGGAAGGTTCATCAGTGATTTAGATTTTCTTGTGCACCTAAGAATTTTTCATAATCTATAAACAACAAATTTCTCAATGCTGCCTTCATTGAAATTAAATCCATACAATAATTTTGAACTCTAGTATAAGAAAGATGTATTCTCTTGTCACTTTCTTAATATGAGACCTAGTTAACTATATCACTATATTGAAGAAATTAGTTAAGTTGGTTATTAGTCATTGAAATGTGCATACCACTGCTCCTAAAAAGAGAGAAAGTTTTGAAAAATGTTAAATTAATGCGGGTAATTTGAGAAAATAACATTATGTTGTGTTTGGATTCTCACAGATTTGGATTTGGATTTGGATTTGGGCCAAATTCCTTATTTGGGCATTTAAAAATATGTAGATTTGTCCCATCCTAATTCCTTCAAAATTTAAAATACTTTCTTACACCCTATTATTTCAAATCTCTCACCCCTCGTCTCATATCGCGATTGGTTTTCATTTGGATTATCTCACAGAGTCGTCCGATTTCTAAGCCAATCTCATCTCTCTCACTCAGTGCCATTCTCGTCTCTTTCACTCAGGTGACTCCCAATCTCTCACCCCTCATCTCACATCACAATTGGTTTTCATCTAGGTTATCTCATAGAGTCGTCCCATTTACTACACCAATCTCATTTCTCTTACTCAGGTGCCATTCTCGTCTCTTTCACTTAGGTGAGTCCCAATTGCTTTTCTAATCTCTTAAAGCTTCTTTGTGTTTCATCCACATGCATATCGTCACTGTCCTCTTTGGTCTCTTCTTCATTTCCTCTTCTCTTACCTTGTTTCTCTTAATTCCC